AACAACAGCATTAGACCCATTCTAAATTCTTCCAGTAACAGAACTAGAACCAAGCTGGTCATTGCTCAAAGGTTTTCTAAAACCACTCTCAGTATTTCCAGAGCTACATCCAGGCTCTTCATTACTCACAGTAATTATCTAGTTCATCAGCCAGGCCCTCCTCAGCCCCTCCAGCAGTCCCTGCATCAGAGGATACACACATGTCTTCATCATCACCGCTAGTAACATCAACAGCATTAGACCCATTCTCAATTCTTCCAGTAACAGAGTTAGAACCAAGCCGTTCATTGCTCACAGGTTTTCTAAAACCACTCTTCAGTATTTCCAGAGCGACATCCAGGCTTTTCATTACTCACAGTAATTTTATCAAGCTTACTCACCTCATTCTGTCCCTTTACCTCAGCATCTCCATCAACCTGCTCTGGGCCTTTTCTTCCTTTCTCCTTCGTGTGAAAAGCAGAGTTATGTATATCCATATTAGATGTAGACGGGCGCGGGTCATTTAACACTTCTTTGTGCGGGCACGAAAAACGTTTGTGCCCTAGGTCACCGCATTCAAAACATTTAAGACTCTCAGTGCTAGCATACACCATGTATGAATTATCTCCATGAGAAACGCGGAAAGACACTTCTAGTGTGCGCTCTGATGAAGTTAAGAACATATAGACTCCACGTCTAATAGAGAGCACATGTTTAAGCGTGGCATTTTTACACCCTAATGGGATAATTTTGACGGGACTCGCGATCTTCTCGAATCTCGTTAATTCTTTAATGATGACATCATTAGAAATAAACTGAGGGACATTAGAAATGGTAATTTTAGTAGCTGGAGCAGACAACGGGGTGACTGGTACAAAAGCTTCCTTCACCCATATTCCACTCACAGTCAGCTGATTAGGGCTGAGAAAAAGTTTAAATTTAACCACTGTATTTATAATTAACACAATTTATTGAGACAAACAACAAATATTTTTTGTTTAAACAATCAAACACAAAAATGAAACAAATATCTAATTTCTAATGTTTTATATGCAGATTAAATAGGTCTTTATTGTATAGGTCTAATTGTCTCCCGAGGCCACAGGAGGGCGCAATGAGCAAAATAATGCAGCGCATTTCAATTGACAACGCA